GATTGAGGTCTAGCAGTTTATGTTTTAGTTCTTAATTATTTTATTACAAGTTGCAGTTTTGCTCGATTTCAGGCAATGGGTTATCTAGTTGGATATTAAATGTGACAATTTTAGGGGATATAGTGGTGAAGGGAAATTGGCTTGGTCTGCAGGTTTGCTGCGGCAGAATTTTTTTTTAAACAGCAATATAGGCTACAACTTGAAAATTTTATTAAAGTTTAAATTTCTAAAATTGGATCTATCTCTAATATATAAAATTCTCGTGTCACAGTGTTTGTCTGCAAACTCCTCCGGAACGACTTCACCGATCGTTATGAAATTTGGTGTGTAAATTCTGTAGGTATGCGAATCGGACATAAACTATTTCCCGTTTCGAAATTCTTAAAAGGGCTCCGCCCCAGTGGCTCTGGAGTTTCTCATGTTAACCTTATGAGAAATGGAATTAATGAATCTTAACAGCTGTTTCAATTAAACAAGTTGGTTCTGTTCTATGATGTTCAATAGCATTAAAGTTACAAGGATTACCAACAGGGTGCAGCACTATTATTTCTTTTACATTTATGACAACAGCTAATTTGCAACCAAAAGGTGAGTGAGCGTAGCGAACGAACTTCAACCTGGAGGCGAGTTAGCGTAGCGAACGAGCTAACCTGAAGGCAAGTGAGCGCAGCGAACGAGCTCCAACCTAAAGGTGAGTGAGCGTAGCGAACGAGCTCCAACCCAAAGGTGAGTGAGCGTAGCGAACGAACTTCAACCAGGACGTGATTGAGCGATGCGAACGAGATCATCTTGAAAATTAAACGTAACGGTGGTCTGTCTTAGGGGAAACCTATAACTTAGGCGATACGAAGTTCGCCGGGTCAGCTAGTCCTTATATATAATTCTGTAAGACAAAATTTTTACCATAAAATTTGTGGACGTCTGGTAAATTGCAGAAAAGTGGGAGGGGTCTTAAATTAAAGGTCTTGACCCCAGGGACTCGGGAAAAATAGCAGAATTCCCATAAAGTTACCAGAAAACGAGATATAACGTAAAATATCCACCATAAGAAAAGCATGGGGATTGAAAAATGTCTGCATTCTAATCAGCTGTTACTTATTTATTTGCAATGTTTAAATTTATTCCGAAAGTCAATGTTGTTAAACAATGTTTTGAAATGAAATGTAGGCCTATTTGTTAATTTTTTTGGTTTTCCGTTATTATTATGAGTGAAGTAACTAGATAAGGTAGGGGAAGACCTGCAAGACGTGGAAGAGTATCCAGGAATTCAACTGACACAAGAAATGCTGAAAGAGAACGTAATTTAAGGCCTAACTATGAAAGAAATACACAAGCTGGTTTACAACCTGCCTTCAGAAGAAGGCTGGAAAATGATTTGAGTGTTGTTTCTCACAATCTTGGTGCTCTTAACAGCACTTGCATGTGCATGCATTGTGGCGCACTTACTTCGCAGAGGAGGCCACAAAAAACATTTCAACTCATGTTGCCACAATGAACTCATTAACATGCAACAACCCCAAGTAAATTACGAACCAAAAGAACAGTTTTTATATGATTCTAGCTTCATAAAAAACATAAGACAATACAACAGTGGCTTTTGCGTCGCTTTCCGCTATACAAAAAGAGATTCTGGGAAATGGGCCTTACCGTTTTAAAATTCAGGGACAAATTCATAGATATATTTCTGACATACTACCGCGAAATGAGGAGTTGCCTTCATATGGACAATTGTATTTCATTGACACATCAGAAGCAACTAATATACGACTCCAACGGAAGGAAAACCAAGATATAAAACAAGAAACACTGTTAATTGTAAGTAACATAAAATTGATAATTTTAAAAACATATTTCAAGTATTTGTCTTTTTATATATACTTTATTTTTATTGTAGTCTAAGTTAGGGGCTATGGCCCCTACAGGCCACTAGTCTTTTATTATTTACAGCTGTACCAAGTTCACAAAACAGCTTATTACGAAGCTTGCATATTTTATAATGGCAGATTTAAATTATTCTAAACTACCAGACCCACTCGCTATTAACAGTTTAGAAGCTATCACGAGAGGCACAATTTTGTTAATGGAAGACTCAATTAGGAAAAAATGAGAATATCGACTCTTTTGTCAGTTATCAGGTTAGTTTTGCAAACTAAACTGGTGCTTTTTTACAGTGCTCTTTTACTTAAAAAAAAAAAGTTAAATAGGTAGTTTAGGTAAGGTTTGAAGTGTTAGTTATATTCTAAACTTAAAGAATGATATTTACTTATCAATATCAGGTTATTTTTACGGTAATAAATTATGTTTAATAGATAGGCCTAGTTTAAGGAAGTGTGGATAGTTGGTAAATCAAAATTCTTATAGCTTTTTCAAAGTGTTGTGTAAACCGAGTCAATGTGTTAGTAGGTTTACTGCATTAGACATACTGTGAATTAAAGTACAGTAGAACCTCATTAATACGAACCCCTGTAATCCGAACGTCCACAAATCCGAACGCCTCATTGCTGTAGTCTATACACAGTACAGCAGTTCTTTATTGTATACTGTATTTATTGATATACGCACCTTAATTATTTCAATTGTAATATACAGTACTGTTTATTCCCTATGTTTACTACTGTATTAAATAAACACTGTATTTTACTTTATAAGGTATTTTTCACTTTTCTCTAGCTATTGTTATGTAAGAACAACAATATGTTCTGTAACCCCCGGTCCCAATTAGTTCGGATTAAAGAGGTTCTACTGTAAATAGTAACAAAAACTTACCTACTGTTAGAAAATTACAATTTTACAATCCCTTATTTTTTGGGTCTAGCGAATCATTTTAAACCAAGCTCCGCTAAGAGGTTACTAGATTTACCGATCAATTTAAGTAATTTATCCTAATTTCGCCAGAGCAGAGGCTGTTCTTTTAATCAGAGTGGAGGTAGATCCTGGGTTGGTTAATATAAAAGAGGGTTAACTTTTTGGTCGAAAGGGCAACTTTTATGTATTGCTATTAATTTGTAGCTTCTACTATGCTACTTTTCCTCACAATTATAAGGGTTCAATAGTTAATAGATAATTTTTACAAATAGGCTTTATTGTTAAAGGTGCATCCACACTTGACGAACAATGCTCGCTAACCTGTCGTTGTTCACCAGCGAACGTTCGATATTCATTAAGTGTGGACGCATCGACGAACGTTCAACGAACATTCGGAGAGCGAGGGAGGGGGTAGCGTGTCGCAATTTTTGTTCAGCCAAAAATGTTTGCTCCATAAGCGAATTTTTGTCCAGTTCGTCCGGTTTCGAAAGAGCAGCCCTTTGAGTTGCAGCCCCTATAGTTCGGCCGCTTAGAAAGCCACCTCCTCCAGCATTGGTTTAGCATTAGCGCGCAGGTCGTTTTCTAAGCGGCCAAACTATAGCGTATCTCTGTGTTAAAGGTGTACCGACTACGATGGTGACTGCAACACAACGTGTTTAAAAGCACCGTTTAAAGCACCTCCGATATTCAGCAGCTTAACCGCAACCCATTCTTCAGCAGAAGACTTCTTTACAGAGCTAGATAATGCACAAACTGTTGCTGTACATACTTCCGGAACAATATGTGATATGATTTTCCTGGATATTTTAAACAAATGCATCAGAGAATGATAAGAATCCCCACTCGCCAAAAAACTCAAGTTAACTGCTAATCTATCTTTCACGCTACAATTGGTAGTTGGTTCACGACAAAAAGTTTCATTATTTTTTAATTTCAGGACCTATTAACGTTACTAGAAATTAAAAATCCGAGTTCGATAGTTGGAGAATGGTAGGCTAACTTAGTGAAGTTGGAGAGAATAGGCAACCACCAAGTCCAATTTGAAGTGCTGCTCACTATATTCATATCATCTTCATACTGTCTCTGCCACCACTGACAACGTCATTGATAGCTGATATTGTAATATGCAGCAGAAACAACAGGACAAGCAAGTAAAAACCGACGCAATTATGCATACTCGTTTAGGCTTTTAAAAATTGCAAAGTAATGCTGTATAAAATTAACCCATGCACAAACTCATCTTACACCTGTGCACTACTACTTGTAGTTGTGTTTTGTTTCACGGTAGCAGGGTGGATTCCTGAGCTGACAACTTGCCCGAGTAGGTAGTTACCAAGTTAAACGAAAGTGATTCATAAAAGTGGATCCAAAACCAATTATTGGTCAAATAGGACATATATAAGTGTCCTGCGTGGATTTGTTGGGACAACAGTAAAGCGGGACTGTAACGTTCAAAACAGGACATAGGCCTATGGTCACCATATTTAGCCTATAAGTTAGGACATTGAGTCTTAATAGGATGAGAAACAAGATGTATTGTGTGAGCAAGAAGGCGCTTCTAAGTGACTTCTGTATATGCGTCTTAGGGTTAATTACAGTCACAATATTTACGTATGAACCACAAGTTTACAGTTGGCCTAAGTAACATACACTTTTAGGGAATAAATACCTTTACTATCAGCCTACCATTAATTTAATCTAGTACCATTCAAGGAAGTCAGTAGTTGATCCTGTTTTTTTATAACCTACCTATACATATTTCATGTCAAAATGGGAAAGATCGTCCATACTGTCAATCTTGTCTCGAACATGTGTCTAAACCAAATTTTGATCAATGGTTTTAGCGTACCAAATTAATCTTGTGTTAAGATATTCAAGCTACTGTACACTCACACAGGTTCATTTGTCTACCACAACTTGAAGTCCAGTTACTTTAAGATAAAGCCTCTAGGTTAAAATAGGTTAATGTGTAAATACGGTGGACACTTCAGGCCCTTTTAGAGTGAAGGTAGGTGTATGACCCCACAGCCATACACCTACTGAATAGGATACACAAACAAGCTTAAATAATGCAAATTTTAAACATACAGTAACTTTGGACTTTTTGCAAAGGTAAATATAACATAGGCCTAGCCTATGCTAGTCCAGATAGGTGTAACTTACACTTATAGGCTAATACATTATTTTCGACATACCTGCGAAACTCCAATATGATGTCTTCTAACATGTAGAAGCCCTATTACAGTCTTATGCCAGTTAGTAATTATTCAGAGTCTTAAACTAAGTATTATTCATAGGTAGGCCTTCCAAAGCTAACATGAATGACCACTAACAAACGAGACAAACGTGAAAGGAAAGTGTAACACTCCGCAATTTGGTAATATTTAAATTATCGTGGATGGAATTCTATTGGATTTTTATAAACATTACATTACATCTTTATATTTTACATCACTTGACAAAATAAACAGAAATGAAGAAACTCTCAGATTTGTTTGAAATTCTACTACACAACTACCCCGACGTCGACGTTCGACCAAACACCAATTTGGTTTGGTTTTGTTTTGAGTAGCCTAGCCTAGCTTTAGCAGAAGCAAAACATCATCAGCTGTATTTAAATGAACACTATAAAAGCCATATGTTTGTCAGGACAGACACTTGTAAAAGTAAAATTCAACCGAGCACGGCCACTTTTAAACTCCATGCCGTGGCCTTCGAAGTGGCAACATCGCAAGAATGGTTGTAATGTAACAGCTGTTTTGTTTTGAGGGGGCTAATGGTAGTTTGTGTATTTTTTAAGAATACAAACGCTTGGGGTACAGTTTCATAACTGGGCTATGCTAATATTGATACGAGACCTTGCCGTCAATTGATTGAAACTATCGAATTGAAAATATTGATTAATAATCGATATTTAAAAAAAAAATCTATTATAAAATAAAACTATATTATAACCTAACCTAACCAAACAAACTTGCTGATGGTGAAAAATCGCATGAACGTTTACTAATTGAATCGATAGTTCAATCAATATTAGCATAGCCCAGTTAAGAAACTGTACCCAAAGCTTGTTTACTGGGCTATGAAAATATTTACTCCAATTTGATGTACAAAAATAGATTTTCAATTTAAACATTGTTTTGGTTTTAAATTCTATATATTATTTTATTTTCAATCTTTTAATAAATTTATGTTCAGAAATTTAAATTTAAATGAATAATACGCGAATTAATGAGCTGGTGTCTCTTGTCTACCATGTTATCTTATGGGAAGTCTAGCGCTAGACAACACCACTTGCAACGCTGCCAATTCTACCACTGAGCTATAATTCTAACTGGAGGTAGCACTGAATGTCAAAGATGCGTGTCGCCAGCCGCCATGTTTGCGTGAGGTGGGTGTCCATAAGAAGCCATATTATTGCTATAACTATTATTATACTTGGCTTAAAATACCTACTTTGTATGGTCACCATTTCAAAGAAAATTATTAAAGTATTAAAAGTATTCAAGTATGACAAAAATACTAACTGCTATACCAACCTAGTTATAAGAAGCCATGTTATTGCTATGGTAAGAAAACTTACTGCTATACCAACCTAACAAAATCAGCGACTCGCTTTTGACAGACTTCTGCCATGGCAGTGCTACCTCCAGTTATAATTTTAGCTCAGTGAATTCTACGGTATTTACTCAGGGGAGGTATAGAAGAAGCTACGATGACAGCTGTGGGCTTCTTATTAGCTGAGGGAACGCCATTACCGTAACAAAACGATCAGTAGTCATCGGACTCGGTGGTCTAATGGTTAGCGTGCCGGGCTGATATGCTGAAGGTCCCGGGTTCAAATCCCGCTCATGGCATTAACTTTTTGTCCAAGATTTTTTTATTATCAGCAAGTTTGGTTGGTTTGGTTCGGTTATGACAGTTTAATTTTATTATTAAGTCATTATAAAATTTTAGTAGAGCAATTTCTAGTTTTATTTAATAAACAGAATTATTTTTTCTATTAATAAACTTTTGTTATATTATTTCATTATCAGCAAGTTTGGTTAGCTCGGTTAGGTTATGATATAATTTAAAAATAATAAAATTGAATTTGAGGCATTTATAATTTTATTTTATGAACAGAACTATTTTTGCGATTAGTAAACCTTCTTTGCCAAAGTACTCTCTACTACAGCGCTGTTCACGGAGGAATTTTGAACTAATGCCTCATTCGTACCTCCCATAAGTCAGACCCCAATTCTACCAGGCCACAGCCTGTGTAGTTAAAGGTGGTTGTGCCAGGAGGCGAGATAGCTTAGCGAACGAGCTAAACCTGAAGGCAAGGGAGGACAGCGAACGAGCTCCAACCTAAAGGTGAGTAAGCGAAGTAAACGAACTTCAACCAGGACGTGATTGAGCGATGCGAACGAGGTCATCTTGAAAATGAACGAGCATTTGACATAAAACCACATTAGGACAGGACGACGTCTGTCGGGCCAACTAGTAGGCTATTATCATTGACTATATAACACTAGTAGTAGTGTTATCAAAGAGTATGTTTTATCTATGATAAAACATACTCCCTTGGTGTTATATAGTCAATGCTATTATTAAAAAGTGTAATACATAAAATTGTAAATAATTTGTCTCATTCTCATGGGCATACGAGCATGGTGGAAGGTTCGGTATACGAGCTTTCTAACCTATATATTTTTGTTGTATTTAATAATCGATGCCACCAATAGATTATTGCCATGACTGTATTGTACGAATAGATGGATTGGATCAGAACTAAATAAATAAATAACGTTATAAATCGGTATTTTATGGTTTTAAATTTAGCTAGCCCAGAATTGCTTAATCGAAGTGACTATTCGCACGTCAAAATGCTCCACAGCCCGTTCCCGTTCCAGTATTCTGTTACAGTTCCAGTATTACAAAATAATGCAACAGGAAATTTCAGAACGTTCAGTTTCAGTTACTTCTTACTTGGTTTTGGTTAGTTCAGAACAATCGATGGAGCCAGAAAGAAAGGTGTTAAAAGTAAAAAAAAACAAAACACATAAATGATCATTTGAAATATTATCAATTGACTTACAGATGCATGTACAGTGGTACAAGGAAAAGTGCAAGCTCGGGCTCGGGATAGCGGCCAAATCAAAAATAAGATTTTACTTGTAAGCTTACACTGTAAAATGTTAAGCTTTAAGCCGATGACAGCCTGGTGATTTATTATTATTTTATCCTAATGCCTAGCCTACTTCTGGGCTATCTAGGACTACATAGGCCTACCAATATTAGGTCATACCTTTTATAGGCCTAGCCTTTGATTGGTAAAGGTAAAGTAGGCTAAAATCAGGCCTAGGCTTAAATTTTTTACTATTCCTATGTATTGAATCTTCATCTTCTACTGTGTATTTCTAATAAACATGTTATTATTGGCCAGCACCTTGAATTTTGATTGCTTGTAACCTCTTTGGCTCTGTTCAACTCTTTTACCTTTCTCTTTACGAAGTTGATCCCATTCATTTCGATTTCGTCTAATAATATCAGGTTCTACCGTTACCGTTCCTAATACTAGGATATCTTTGTGTGCAACCTGTTCCCAAACAGCTATAACAGTTACTAGATTAGGAACGTAATGTGACGTCATTTGGAGCAGACGTGCGTGGCAGCGGCGCACGTCTGACGTGCGAATAGCCACTGCCTTGCTTAATAGACAAAACCATAGCCTTAATAGACACAAGGTGGCCGTGAGACGGGTCTGACTTAAGGGAGGTACAAATGAGGCAACGATGACATCATGGTTTAGTTCAAAATTCCTCCGTTAACAGCGTTGTAGTAGAGAGCACAAGTGGACTCCAAAATGTTAGTTTGTAATGAAGTGTTAAAAAAGGCCAAAGTGGATAACGTTAAATAAACCTAAAACCCGGAGCACAAGAGAGAGTGCCGAGTGAATTCCCTCAGGAAAAAGTGCTCAGGGACATACCTAAGGGAAAACACCAGGAAAAGGTACTCAGTGACACGAGGGAAAAGAACTGAGGGAAAGTGCTGACTGCTGAGGAAAAAGTGCCCAGTACTTTCGTTTGGGGCCGGTACTGGGTACTTCTCCCCACCCTTCAAGCACCTTACGACCCTATCTATATAAGGAGCATCCTTGGGATACCTAGTCAGTTTTGGGCCTTCGCCGCCGGTGGGGTAAGCACTAGAGGCGTGTTGAGCTCGGTGCTTCCCATTCACCAGCACTAGAGGCGTGTTGAGCTCGGTGCTTCCCGTTCCCCAGCACTAGAGGCGTTTTGAGCTCGGTGCTTCCCGTTCTCCGCACTAGAGGCGTGTTGAGCTCGGTGCTTCCCGTTCCCCAGCACTAGAGGCGTGTTGAGCTCGGTGCATCCCGTTCCCCAGCACTAGAGGCGTGTAGAGCTCGGTGCATCCCGTCCCAGAACTAGAGGCATGTTGAGCTCGGTGCATCCCGTCCCCGCACTAGAGGCGTGTTGAGTTTGGCGCTTCCCGTTCTCCGCACTACAGGCGTGTTGAGCTCGGTGCTTCCCGTTCCCCCGCACTAGAGGCGTGTTGAGCCCGGTACATTCCGTTCCCGTACTAGAGGCGTGTTGAGCCCGGTATATTCTGTTCCCGTACTAGAGGCGTGTTGAGCCCGGTACATTCCGTTCCCGCACTAGAGGCGTGTTGAGCCCCGACATCCGTTCTATTGTCAGTTTAAGTCCCCGGTGGCCAATGGAGCTGCCTCCCGGAACCATGAATCCGTCTGGAGGGGGATGAAGAGGCCCACCTCCACTATTTAAGAAGAGTGCTGTCTAGGAGAGACGGCAGTCTACATCCGTCAGCGTTACTGGCGACATAGCGAGGAGCTGCTGCGCTTGGGACAGCGATCCGTCCAGCACTTCTCGGGCAGTCCGCATCTGACAGTGGGACAGGTTACCTCGTAAGGAGCTGCTGCGTTTGGGCTCTAGTTGGTGAGCCGCCCAGCACTTCCCGAGACGGAGCCAGGTAGAGGACTGCAGGAGCTGAGAGGAGAGGACCACAGGAGCCGAGAGGAGAGGACTGCAGAAGCCTAGAGGAGAGGACTGCTGGAGCCGAGAGGAGAGGACTGCAGGAGCCGAGAGAAAAGGTCTGCCGGAGCCGAGAGGAGAAGTCTGTAGAGCCGTGGTGTTAGGTCTTCTGAGAGCCGTCGAGCAAGTGGGAGAAGCCACAGACTGGGCTTCGTGAACAGAAGAGATTTGTATATATTGTATATAGTTCTTTTTGTGTAAATAGTCCTAGAAATAATCCTGAAATAATACATGTGTCATAATCCATGTAAGTGTTCAGTCAATCTGTGTCCTGAAAACCCCGAAAAGGTCTGATAGCTGTACAAAAGGTAAAAACCTGAGAAAGTACGTGATGTAGTTTTAAAACATGTGTTCGTTAATTAATTGTTTATGTTCACTAATTTTGTAAATAAAATGGATTGAGTAAAATAATGTTTCTTTTAAGTGGAATCTAATTATTATACAATAAATGGCGACGAGGATGACGGAAATAGGAAATATAAAAAAGTTGAGATCAGTTGCAAAT